GGTTATTTGGGCTTGCTTTGTTTTTCTGATATGAGAATTCACTGCTATATATTTCCCTATTAAGACTGCTTTCAGGGCTGGGGATTTAGCTCAGCGGTTTGGTGGCCTGCCTCGCAAGCGCAAGGACCCGAGTTCGATCTCTGATTCAAAAAAAAAAAGAGACTGCTTTCATTGCATCCCATAAGTTCTAGTATGTTGTGTATTTAATTGTAGAAACTGTCTAATTTCTTTTTTAATTTCATTGGGACCCATTGGTTGTTCAGTCATTTAATTTTCATAGGTATGTAGTTTTTGTGGTTCCTTTTGCCATTTACTTCCAGTTTCATTGAAGTATGAACTGATAATACGGATGGGATAATTTTAATTCCTTTGCATTTACTTAAGCATGGTCTATGAACTAGCATGACTTAACTATTTTGGAGAAAGTTCTGTGTGCTGCTGAGAAGAATATGTACTCTGTTGTTATGGGGTGGATGTAGATAGCTACTAAGAGCATTGTTCAAAGGTTTGGTTCAGCTGTGATATTCCTTTGTTGATTTTTTATGTCCAGTTGATCTATTTATGACAGTGGAATATTGAGGTCCTCCATTAGTGCTTATCTGATTTTTCATATCCATTAGTATTTGTTTTATATAGTTAGGTATGCTGGTATTTGGTGCATATATATTTATGATTGGTATCTCTTTCTTTTGGATTGTTCCCTTAACAAGTAAGCAGTGACCTTCTTTGTCTCTTCTGATCCATCCTGGCTTGAAATCCACTCTGTCTGCAAACAGAATAGCTACCCCTGCTTTTTTCTGGGTACCTGTCACATACAGCATTGTTTTGCATCCTTTGACTTTTAGTCTATGAATTTCTGTTTGAGTTAAATGTGTTTTTTGTATGCAGCATATTGTTGCATCTTGTTTCTTGATCCATTCTGTCAATCTGTTTCTTTTGATTGGAGAATTGAGACCATTTACATTGATGGTTATAATGATATATATTGACTTAATCTTGTCATCATGTTATTTTCCTTGTGTTGGTTACCCTTCTTTCCCTTTTGTTTAATTGCTTGCCTTGTTTGATGCATTCTATTGGGATTCTTGGAATTATCATCATCTTCTTTTTCTAGAATATCTTTCAGAACTTTTGGAATGCTAGTTTGGTGGTCATAAATTTCTCCAGGTGTTCTTTATCAAGGAATTATCTTTTTCTTTTCTTTTTTCTTTCTTTCTTTTTTTTTGGTACCAGGAATTGAACTCAGGTCCTTGTGCTTGTGAGGCAGGCGGTGGAACCACTGAGCTAAATCCCCGGCCCTAGGAACTATCTTTTTCTATGTCAATTTTGAAAGATAATTTTGTGGGGTACTTCAGTCTGGGTGGAGGTTGTTTTGTTTTAGGGCTTGAAATATTTCACACCAAAACCTTACAAAAGCTTTTGAGAAGTCTCCTGTGATTCTGATGAGTTTTCCTTTATAGGTGATTTTTTTTTTCCTAATAGCTTTTAGTGTTCTCTTCTTCTGTTGAATTTCTGGAATCTTGACTATTATATGCCTTGGTGTAGTTTTTTTCTGATCATGAATATTTGGGGTTTTATATGCATCATTTATCTGTATCTCAAATTCTTTGTCCATGCTCATAAAGTTTTCTGCTACTATTTCTATGAATGGATTTTTTAATGCCTTTTGTGCTGTCTTCTAATTCTTTATTGATTCCAGTTAATCTTATATGAGCCTTCTTTGCATGGCCTAGAAGCTGTTGGATTGATTTTTTCATGATACATTTCTATTTTTTACTCTCATTAAGTTTATTGGTACATTTAAAGCAAACAATACAGTTACATTTATCACTGGGATCTTGTACCTTTACATGATATGTCTTGGTACTTATTTTTCCTCATACACCTGCCCTCCTTTTACCCACTTCCCCCTTCCCTATTTACAAAGATTGTTTCCATTTTTTCTTTTTTTTCCACATTTTTTATTTTCCCTTATTTCTTTTCTGTCATTTGGTGATTGCCAACTGCAACCCTTTTAGATCTGATATTCTATCTTCACATTAATTGTCTCTGTTGCATATACTTTTAATAGAATTTTTAATCTGGATTTCTATTTGACTCTGTTTCATGGAATCAAGGTCTTTTCTATATTGGGCCTTCATGGTTTCCATGACTTTCCTAAACTCCTCTTTTTTTTTTTCCAATCTTTGTCTACTTTAGACACACGAATCATTTCCTTCACTGAGGTGATCATCATCTCTCTAACTATCTCTGTTTTATTTTGTCATCATACTTAGTGATCTGTTTTGATGCTTCTGCTGCTACCATTTCACAAAATTCAGCTAGGGGGTTTTGATTTCTTCCATCTCAATGCTCCCTTGTTTTGTGCTGGGTGAGTTAGTGGTTATGTGTTACATCTTGCTTCTGTGTTTTCTAATTTTCTATTTTTAAAATTTGTTTTCTGCATTGAGAGTTGTAAATTGCTTAAGGTAGCTTTATTATTAGTATTGATACTTCTTTAGGAAATGACTACTTTTTAGAGATGTCTTCTAGCTGTAGCTGGCTTTTGGCTTTTGAGTCTATCCCAGGATGCTGCCTCTTCAATTTATTATGGATGAAAGGTTGCTGCCTATTTGGCCTAGTGCCCAGTTCTTTGGTACTGAACTATGGTATTATTTATGACCACTAGAGAGTCTAGGTAATGGTATACAAGGAAGATCAATTGATCATAACAACTATGTCACCTTAGCTAAAGTAGTACAATCAATAATAACAATTGCCTCAAGCACAAACTGGAAACTGAGAGTGTACTTCTTTAATGCTACTTAAAAAGCCTATCTTCACTGCACATTGACATCTTCTGCAAATTCTTTTTCTGTGAAGGTAGTTAAAAACCACAATCTACGCATTGTGTTGGGTGAATTGAAGTTCCCATCTCTTCTTTGGGGGACCTCCTTAGACACTTTCTGGTAAAACCCAGCACTAACTGGCAGATATGTTTCCAGCTGCTATCTAGCCTTGCTGCTGGAAGTTAAAATAACTTATCTTCTTTGCCTAGGATCTATAATGATTCAATAAACTCTTATTTCAGAGATCACTTGGTCTTAGAGTTTTAGTTTAACAATTTTACTGTATTTTGTAGTTTTCAGTGTACGATCAATTCTGTTAAATTTTTCTTCAGTAAATACTCTTTTCAATGCTATTGTAAATGAGATTATTTTTAAAATTTCATTTTCAGAATGTTCATTGTTAATGTTATGTCTTATTTATTTAGCTGTATTTCACTTATTATATAATTAATTCATTACTTTTTCTTTTTGATACAGCTGTCACTATATCATCCAACCTGTACTTGCTATGTAGCCCAGCCTAGCCTCAAACTTGTGATCCTCTTGCCTCAGCCTCCAAGAGCTGGGATTATAAACATGCACCTCCATGTCTTGTACTTTAAAAAGTAATCCAAGAGGGCTGGGTATGTATTTAGCTCAGTGGTTCCAGTGCATGCCTCGCAAATGCAAGGTTCCTAGTTTGATCCCTAATACTCCCGCCAAAATAATAATCCAAAAAAGGATGGTGGAATTTTCTAAATGCTTCCCCCACAATCTACTAAGATGATTATATATCTTTTTTCCTCTTTATTCTATTAATATGATGTATTGTTAAATTTTTATATTTTAAGCCAATTTGGTATTTCTGGGATAAATCCACTTGGTTATATTATATATAATCTTATTTCTACATTGCTGGATTAAATTTGCTTGTATTTTGTCTTGCTCTTTTGTCTTGCTTACAGATACAGAATTTGGTAAAGAAAGTACTATTTAATTGGCTCCTGCAATGTTAATAGTCACCTTTTCTGAAAAAAATTTCTGATCATTTCTATTTGACATAGTAAGAGATCATCATAGTAACAGAAGACAAACTCCTGGGCTCTTAACCTGTTAACCACTAGAAGCATGATTTCTGTTTTCTTCTGAGGCAGTCAAGGACTTGAAAACTTTTTTTTTTTTGCTAAAAAGACAGGGATTCTTCATTGGGGCCCACAGATGTTCACTAGCTGACAAACAGCAGAACAGAGATTGGCCTCCATTTTGCATCTGTCTCCTTTGTTACCTTAAAACTTAGGTCAGATCCTGCTCAGCTCTAAATAAGAGGGTGATAATCATGGGGGGAGCTGTCTGAAAGCTGAAAATACAAATTTATTGGTCCTAAACTTATATAACTTGTTCCATTCCCCTTTAAGGCCCCAAGAAAAGGGATTCACAAGGACATTCCACTACCAATGAGCTCCTGGAAGTCTCCAGTTATTGTTCTAAGCCTAGGTTACCCTGGATTCCAGCAGGGCTTATACATGAAAAATTGTATTTACACACATGTGTATGTGTACCTTTAATTAGGCTACCTCAGATCCTTGTTGGGTATAGGTGTGGCATGAATTTGTAACGAACTAACACATATGCACATACATCACATAATTACTGTAGATACAATTTAAATATTAATTTGTTTTTTTCATAGGACCTCAATTAAAGATGACATAAATTTAAAAAGAAAGCCAGAGATGCTAGAAAGTCAGCTAAAGAGGCACATCAGCCTTAGCAGTTTGGAATAGAAGCAGATGAATGTAGACCTATAATTTCTCTCCTGAGATCATCTTCTATTCAGTTATGAAGTCAAAGGAACAAGATGGTTTTTAAAGCATTAAATCCCTACACTCTCTTTGGGGAAAACCGTGGAGATATCTCTTAACCATGTGGACCTCTTTGCTCTGTGATGTAAGTGAGCACCACTTTCTTTCTGCTCCCGGGTAAACCTGTACTGACTCCTGGTGTTGCACCTGTAACACAGTGCTTGTTCACTGGCTTTTGTTCATTGATAGAAGATGAACTGCTAAAAGAAGAAATGGTATAATATCCTTCTTTAGCACTGAGCCCAGTGGTGATCTCAAAGTTGGGGCACAAGAACAGTGTAGCTGAGTAAGTGAATTAGTTGTTTACAAGAAGAGAGAAGAAGAACTATACCTTTAGCATCAGAATTTGATTCTTCGTGTGTCTGCTGTAAATGTTCTCTGTCATGAACCTGATAGAACAGAAAATCAGAAGGTAAAAATGCTATATTATAAACATAGACATAAAAGAGAGTTTATTTCTTACATAATTTATGGTGTGATGGGAAATGTATAATAGATATTGTGAAATAGAAAGAAAATGTTCAAATGGGAATGGGAACTAGGAGGGGAGAAGGGGAAAAGAAGAAAGAGAAAAAAGAATAGGAGGGGAAAAAATGGAAACAGTTTCTGTAAAAAAGGATAGGAAGAGGGGTTGAAGGGAGTTGAGGGGAACGGGAAAAAAAGAAGAATCAATATATAACATGCATAGGTATAAATTCTCTATAATGAATGTTATCATTATGTATATCTAAAATGTACCAATAAAATTATTTTTTTAAATAAATAAAATTAAAAATTAAAAAGAGTATATTTCCTATATAATTTGTGGTATGGTGGGATTTTGACAAACATTTCTTGTTTTATTCTTATAGTTTTTGTTTGTTTGTTTGATTGCTTTTTGAAGACAGGGTCTTACTATGTAGCCTAGGCTGGTCACAAACTCAAAATGATCCTCCTGCCTCCGTCTCTCTAGTGCTGGGATTACAGGCTTATTTTGATAGGTTCAGGCAATCTGTCATCTAGCTATATCATCTTATTTATTTATGGTTCTGATGATTAAAGTACAGAACAAGGAAGAGTGTGAACATACACTTGCTTTCATGGTGAGGACTTGCTAATGACCCAATTGCACTAAAAGAAAGAACAGTGGAATTGTGAGTACTAATTTTGAGTAGTCCACAGGTCATATGTTACCCAGAACACATTTAAAATGTTTTCAGACTTTAAAAAATCTGTATATATGGGAATATAAATAATTTTCCAAAAGTCTCTCAGAAAGCAAAAAGGAATTGAAAACATTTAAAAAAATTTTTTTTCCAACATGTAACATTATCAACTCAATAAAAGTAGATCATGGAATAGACCTAAGGTCAAGCATAGTGGTATGCGACTATAGTCCCAGCTACTTGGAGGCAAAAGTGGGAGGATTGCTTGAGCCCAAGATTCAAGACCAGGATGGATAACATAGTAAGATCCCTGATTCAAAACACAAAACAAAAACAAAAATAACTCCAAAGTGCCTCACAAACAAAAATTCATGAAATCAAGTTTAAAGCTAAAATCAGCTTATTTACAGATATAGTTGATTGGCAGCAAACCAAAACAAAAAAAAACTAACACAATCTTTATAAAATGGAAGAAAAAGGTGAAAATCAAAACTTGGTTATTGAAGAGGGAGAGAGAAATAATCCAGAAAAAAATTACACAGAGAAGTAGTGATATTATGTAATCATCAGAATTTGGTGGTAAAAATCAGGCTGAAGAAAATTTCCATGTGGAGCTGGATGTGGTGGTGTGCATCTGTAATCCCAGCAATCTGGGAGGCTGAGGCAGGAGGGCTGCAAGTTGGAGCCCAGTCTGGGCTTCTTAAGGATTTAGCGAGACCTTGTCATAAAATTAAAAAAAAACTATTACAAGTATTTTCTTATTATAAAGAACTGATTCAATGAACTCTTGGTGTAATTTTTAGACCTCATCTTTTGAATGATATAATCTACAATTTCTAACCATAGTAATCTACTATTATTTTCACTGGAAGTCTTAAAGATCAATGAGTGAGAGTGTAGGGAATAAAGTTAAGACACTTTAAAAATAATTTACTAATATTTATTCATGGTGTTGATGTCTTACAAACAAACAAAAAAACGTAAGTTCAGGAGCATAAGTAAGTAGTCCTCCACGATTTACCTCAATTAAGGTGAGATTGTTCATACTTTCAGTATGTGGTAATTAGAAAAGAAATTTCAGGTAGTGACCAAGAACTCATATTAGTTTATGGGCATATAATATGAATTTTTCTAAAAGCATTTGGCCAAATGACAGTTATTTTCCATTTGGAAATATCCAAAATTAAATATATGATTTAATAACAAGTTTTAAAGTTCCAAGCAAAAAAAAAAAAGAATCAAATACACGACCATCTTTGTAAATAGAGTAGGGTGGAGGGTGTGGAGGGAGGACAGTGGAATGGGGAAAAACAAAAACCAAGGGCTGGGGATTTAGCTCAGTGGTTCTGCCTCCTGCTTTGCAAGTGCAAGGTCCTGAATTCGAACCCCAGTACAAAACAAACAAACAAATAAACAAGCAAACAATCAAAAACAGATACATTATGTAAAGGTACAAGATCCCAACAATGAATATAACTGCATTGTATACCTAAAATGTACCAATAAACTTAATGGAAAAATAATTTCTGACTATTGCATTCAGCACAGCCCTGGAGCATACATACCTTGCTGTTCAGACTATTCCATTCAACAGCGGTCTTCTTTGAAAGCATAGTTCTGGAGGCCAGTGCCTGAGATTTGTTCTGAACCTGGGAGTGCTCCTCCTATCTCCCTCTCCAGTTCTCTTGGAAAAGTAGCCCATGTACAGTTTAGCCATTGTCTCCAGTGAATCTACCAGTTTTCTCCCAATTGCTTTTTATCATACTTGCACTCATTGAGAATACTTTTAAACTTGAACTCCATGTTCTGTTACAAAGGAACTCAATTCTTTTGGGTAGAGATTAGGAAGCTATCTCTTTTATAACTTGGTTCTCCCTCAAGGCAAAATTTCTAAACCTTGGGTCTGGAGCCAGAGATGGAGCTAAGAGCCCTCATTGTTTTAGGAGGTTAGCTGTAGGTGAGGGGAGGGCAGTAACCTTAGGTCTCTTCTGCCTCTCTCTTCTGGTGTAGAACCACCACTTTGCAAGCCAAGGCAAGCAAGACCAGGGCCTGAGCAGTCTTGGGGTGTGGCACCCAAGGCAGAACCTCCATCCACTGATAGAACAGGAGATCTTCCACCTCTGGCCTGCACTCACCTGGAACTTAGCTTCAGCTACAGGCAGCTGGAGGAGAATACACAATACTGATGTCCTGCTTCTAGGGAGATAGCCGTCTGGTGGCTGTGGGATCCCAGGCCCCGTTTTTCTCTGGTGGTCAGGTCTGGAATGAAATTTGTGTTCCACTGAGCTGGTAGGTGGGGAGAGAGAAGTCTGGATCCAGAGCCACAAGTTCTTGGTCCTTTTAACAAATTTGATTATATTTTCTTGAATAATTTTTTTTGTATTTGCTGTATGTCCTTAGGACCACTTGCAGAGATCTCTTCCTCCCTTCCTTTCTTCCTTCCTTTTTAACAGTTTTGTTGGTGAATGGATCTGCAGAGCTCCACATGCAGTTATATAGAAGTCAGTCTCTTAGCTCCATCTATTTTTATTCCCTTGTATTCCCATTTATTTTTTCTGTTTTAATTTCTTTCTTTTTACTATCATGGATGTGCTTTGCAAACTTCCTCAAATATTTTTAGAAAAGGTAGGTAGAAATGGAATTAAATATGGCACCTTAGTAAGATCTGCCTCTCATCTGTCAAAGATCTTTTGTGTTTTTATAAATATTAAATAATATAAGCAAAATTTTAATCATTAACTTTCCCCAGAAAAAATTAGAGTGTAAGAGAAATTTTCTTGTCATTCTTTCTGTTCTTTCTTTCTTTTCCTTCTTTCCTTCCTTCCTTCCTTCCTTCCTTCCTTCCTTCCTTCCTTCCTTTTCTTTCGTTTTTTTTCCTTCCTTCCTTCCTTCCTTCCTTCCTTCCTTCCTTCCTTCCTTCCTTCTTTCGTTCTTTTTCATGGTGTTGAAGATTGAACACAGGGCTTTCATACTGAGCTACATTCCCAGACCTTCTTATTTTATTATGTTTAAAAATTTGAGACAGTGTCTTGCCATGGCATTAAGTCGCCTAGGCTTGGCTTGAACTTGTGATTCTTCTGCCTCAGCTTCCCAGAGATGCACACTTCTATGCCAGATAACTTGCCATTCTTTTGTATTTTTCTCCCAAACTCTTAACAACCAGATCAATAAAGATTTACCTCTGCCTTGGCATTTTGGTGGCTTGCTATGGTAGAATTCCTCTCTTTCTTTGTTTTCAAATATTTTTTCTTAGTTTTTATCTGGTTAAAATAATCATATTTCAATTTAATATTTAATCAATACATTGAAGACAATATATATGCTGACAAAAAACAAAACAAAACAGAAAACTATCTTGAGACTTCCACTTCTTAGAAGGTAGAGAAGTGAAGGACCTTCTCATCCCAATAACTAAAATTAAATATACAAAGCAGACATAGAAAACTCTAAGAGGAACATAAATGGGGCCTAATCAAGAAACATTTCCTAATTCCCAGGATAGGCAATGTCTTAAATATTTACACAATAAAATTTTAGCTGAATATTATGCTGCATGCCTGCAATCCCAGCTACTTGAGAAGCTGAGGCAGGAAGATTGAAAGGTTGAGGCCAGCCTGGGCAGTCAGCAAGATTGTGTCTCAAAATAAAAATATCTCAGTGGGAAGGTCCTAGGTAGGATTTTATATCCACAGTCTCTGCCATTTAATTTTGTAGGTTCTCTCACTCTATGGGATATACAATTCTTCACCGTTCCGATGCTGGACTTGGCTGTGTGACTTATTATGGCTAATGGGCTGTTAGTGAATATGCTAAAAGGTATGGTTGTAATATGATATATGTTTGCCAGGAAGAAGTCTAGCTTTAGATGGGCTTATATTGCTTGGTTTTCTCATTTATACTTTGGGTTTTTGACCACTGAATTTTTCCTTAAGTAATGTCTGGTCCAAGGAAAATGAAAAACATGTGACACACAACTCAGCCTGAAGCTTGAAGCCAAGACCAATGGACTCTATCCAATTCCAGAAGAGCCAATTTGAAGACACATGTAGGAGAAAACACAAGCTTGTGAGCCACTGAAATTCTGAAGCCGTTACACAGCAAGAGGCGGGTAACACACCTTGGATCTGCTTGTCTTGCGCCCTTACTCCCTGAGGTGTCACCTCCTCATTTTGTTGACCACATTCAGAAATGTAATGGCCACCTGAACGTTCCTCCCTCCTGCTTTAACATCCTTCCTAAGCATTTATCCCTTACTCACACATCATATATACTATCATGTTTATTGTGTCTCTCCCAAAGGCAATATAAGATACAAAGTTAAGATGTTGCTTCATTTTGTTTACTGCTCTGTCCCGACACTTATGTCTGATACATAGGTGCAGCCCTGTATGTAGTTGAGTAATACATGCATAAGTGAATACTGCACTAACAGTCAGGTGATATATGCTAGGTTCCGCCTCTGCACCAGCAAGTGTTGTGGTTTTGGAAGTAATTTAATTTCTCTGGATATTAAAGGCATTAGAATAAAAACTCTAAAGTTTAAAAATTCTATGATTTAAAGATGTGTACATAAACAGAGAAAGGAACTATTACTATATATTAGTTGTGCAACTGCAACCTTTTTTTGACTGTTAATCACAATAAAAAGAATATCTGCTTAACATATCCATATCATAAGAAAAAATTTTAATTATACCTGAGAAGTCACCTTGAGAAGGTAAGTCTGAGAGTCATTGGATTCCGAACTGTCAGATCCTCGGCTACTACAAAACAAAAGAAACAGAAAATTTTGGTGGCATTTTAAAATTTCACCTGTTGCCAGGTGAGGATACTCTAGCACACTTGCAGTTCCAGCTATTTGGGAAGGCTGAGGCAGGAGCATCTGTTGAGCCCAACCTGGACAGCATAAAGAGATCTTATCTAACAAAATCCAACTGTTGTTTTTACCCTATCACTTTATTTAAATGGTTAAACATTCTAATTGGGAGAAGAATATTTAAAAAGGCATTTTAAGTGCTTGGCTTAGGTGTTTGTCCCAAGTGGCTTAGAAATAGAAAAATAATTTTTGGTTGAATATGCAGCCAGGGATGTAGATCAGTCCAGGGTTCAACCTCTGGTACTGCAGAGAGTGTGGGGGAACTCACAGGGGGGACGGAGACCCTAATAGCCTATGTCAAGAGAGACATTCTGTCACTCTGTAATGACCCTCCAGCCAGAAGGTACAAGCCCCTGTGGTCTCACTGGTGAATCCTACCAAACATTTAAGGAAGAAATAATACCAATCCTCTACGATCTGTTCAGAAAAATAAAAACCCTAAGGAACATTTTCTAACTTTTTTCTATGGGGCTACCTACTATTGCTCCAATACAAAAAAAAAAAAAAAAGAGAGAGAGAATAAAAATAGAGATACTAGAAGAAATAGTAAAGACCAATATGTCAAATAAATAAACATCCTCAACAATACAATAGCAATTAAATCCAACAATATTTAAAAAGAATTACACAAGTAGGATTTATTCCAAATGTTCAACTGCTATCCAACATTGAAAAATCAGATAATGCAATACATTATATTAATAATCCAAAGGATAAAAAGATTGTATCAATAGATTCAGGCAGAAAATTTCACACAATCCAAAACCTGTTCATGGAAAAACCTCTCAGCTAAGTACATGTTGGGAGTATCTTACGATAGAGTAAGGGGATATGAACAGATTAGACAGCAGAAAGATACTGTCTTTTAAATGTGTGGTTTATTTACATAACAATCCCTTACTCTATAAGATACAGACAAAATGGAAGGTCGCATCGCAGTCGCTCACAAGAATACAAGACTAAATCAGGTCTGGGTCACTCACTGAACAGAAGTTCAGGTCCAGTTCAAGACAGGCTGAGAGAATACACTGTTGAAGAGTTTCTATAGAATTTATGTCCCGTGAGGCTTAAGTATGCAGTATGTGAGAATAATTCACCAGTAAATATTATATTCTTTATAAGAAAATATTTGCCCTTACAAATCAAATGCAGCAATGCTTTTCAATTAAAAAAATCATTTACTTATTTTGAAGCATATTTTGTTTCCAAGCAGCTATAAAAGGAATTTAAGTTTTATTTGGAAAACTCATCTGCATTCACAATTCCTCAATGGATTTTATTTTATTTTACTTTGCTTCTTAGATTCAACTAAAAGTGTCTTTTAGGCAAATACATTTTCTTTTTGGTATGGGGGAATTTAATTCAGGGCTTTCAAACTGAACTACATTCCCAGTCCTCTTTTTGTTTTTTGTTTTGTTTTTTTTTTTTTTTCTTTCTTTGCTTTGCTTTTTTTCTTTTTGGTACTAGGAATCAAACCCAGGGCCTTCAGCTTGCTAGGAAGGCACTGTGCCACTGAGTTACATTCCCAGATATTTTTGATTTTTATACAGGGTTTTGCCAAGTTTCCCTCATTATAGGCCTTAAATTTCTCATTTGTAACATGGAAACCTAAAATTATATAGAATGCCACAACATAAAGTCGTAAAGTTAAGGGTCCCTTTACAAAGTCACATGTATCACTTGGGCAGCCATGGAGGAAGGTACCTAAATTCATAAAACAAATATGAGCGATTACTTTAATAATTGATATATCCTAACTATTCTTAAGGTCAGTCTTGATTTTATGAGTGAACAGCAGGGAAGCCTACAGCGAAAATTCTATGTTTCTAATTGTTTTATTAATAATATTTTCTATTTAATGTATATGTAGCCTTCTAATAATTTAGATATTGAATAACAACATATATGTTTATATGTCTACTTCCCATTTTATAAAAATCCCTTCACACCTGTAAGGACGACTGTTAAATAAAACAAAACAAAAATCAAAAGGCAAGTGTTGGTAAGGATGTAAAGAAACTGGAACTCTTGCTCACTGTAGATGGGAATGCAAAATGGTGTACCTCCTACTGAAAATTGTAGGGAGGTTCCTCAGAAAACTAAAAGTAGAACTAGCCTATGAGCCAGCTATTTCCACTTCTGGGCATTTTTTTTTCCAAAAGAACTGAAATCCACAGCCTGAAGACATGTTAGCATTCCCATTTTAGTGGAGCAATAATCACAATGGCCATACTGTGGAAACAAACTGCATATTTATCAACAGGACACAGAAAATGTGGTACATAGGACAGTGGAATACTATTCAGCTTTTAAAAAGGAAAAAATCAATCTCTAGTATAAAAAGGGAAAAAGGAGATTCTTCAATATGTGACAACATGGATAAACTATGAAGACCTTATGCTAGGCAGAATAAGCTCGTCACAAAAAACACAAAGACTGCATGATTCTGCCTTTGTAAGGTATCTGAAATAGTCAAATTCATAGACTCAAAGAATGGGTGATGGTCACTAGTGGCTGAGAGTTCCTGCTAATTAATGGATGTAAAAGTTCAGTTAAGCAAGATAAGTTCGAGAGCTCTGTTGTTCCACACTGTACCAACAGTCAACAATAACATATTGTGTGCTCAAAAATTTATCAAGAGGGGAGCACTCTTGCTTTTAGCACATTGAAGCTAGAAATAAAAAAAAGAAAATGGTGAAAGAAAAAACTATTAAACACATTCTCATATTGGCTTTCATGTTCCTTGTTAACTACTCAAAGGAACTAAAAACAAATCTACAGTAAAACTGCCCATGGATGTTTACAGAAGGTTTATTCAGAATTGCTAAAACTTATAAGCAACTAAAATGTTCTTCAATAGGTGAGTGAGTAAACTGTTATTCAGATTATGGACTATTACTCCATGTTAAAATGAAGGGAGCTATTATACTATGAAACTTAAATGAAACTAAGAAACTTAAATGAATGTTGCTAACTGAAGAAGTCAGTGTATAAAAGCTATATACTGTACAATTCCAACCAAATGACATTCTGAAACAGGCCAAACTAAGGAAAGAATTTAAAAGATTTGTGGTTGCCAAGGGTTGGGGGGAGGGAGAGTTAGGTGGATTACTCAGTGAATCCATTCAGTGAAAACTCTCTGGTATGATGCCATGAAGTTTGACAGATGTCATTATAGATTTGTCTAACCCCATAAAATGCATACACCAAGAGTGAACTGTGTAAACTAAGGACCCTGGGTGACAATGACATTATCAATGTAAACTCAGCGACTGTAACATGTACCACTCTGGTAGGGGATATGGATAATGGTGGAAGCCATGCATGTGTGAGGATAGGAGATGTGGGACACATCTACTTTCCACTCAATTTTGCTGTGACTATAAACTGCTTCAAAAAATAAAGTCTATGACAGAGAGAGAAAGAGAGAAACAGAAAGAAAGAGAGAGAGAGGGTACAAAACTATATGGTATGTCTTTGACATAAAATGAATACTGTACACTGTACATAGAAATGCTCATATTGAATTAAAAAATAAATTAAACAAAGCCTTGATGAGATCTGGCCAAATGTCCATGAGAGAAATTTCTTCCATTTTTCAGTGTGGAATCGACAATAATATCCTAGTATTGTGAAAAAGAACAAAGTAAAACAATACAATAAAGTGCATTACTTCAGTAGTCTTGACATACCTGGACTCTATATCCAGTGTAATTTCTCTTAGACAAGAATCTGAATCTGCAAAGACTTTCTTCATGTTCACATGTTTTTCCATTTCTTCTAATTCTTTCAGGCACTGATAATACTAGGGACAATTATAAATGAGTTTATTACATATTTACTTCCTAATTAAACTGCCCAAATATTTACAGACATCTGGAGTGATAGTTACTAGAAAATTAAAGAGCAAAAAGTCCCAGAACACTGTTAGGATAGTAAAAGGGAAAGACTGTTGCAGGTTACCGGCCTAGCTGGGTTATCCGATGGGCTGGAATCTGATGCTTTACCAAATGGGGTTGGCTCACCTTGCTCCGGTCAGGATCACAATAGTCCAAGAGCGAATCACAAAAATGATATCCCATTGACTCCAAATCTTTTGTGTTGAAATGAGTGCCTCGTTTATTACCTAAAGCACCAATAAGTTTATTCACCCCTGGCAATGAGTTGATCATTTTTCTTTGCAGGTAGGCCTAAATTGCAAGAGTCTAAACAAAACACGGACCTGATGCCATACCCTATTTGAATATTCTTTTTCTGGAGAAGACCTGGAAGCTTACTTTTTTTCCTTTTCTTCCCCAACAACTTGGACTGAAGCTGACTTAACATGTGTATCAGTATATGTTACACAGAAAAAGAAAATTCAGTGAGACAGTTACAGAATATTTGGTTACCAATTAGAAATGATACTAATAATTACTCTGAGAAAAGTGGGAAAAGATTTTGAGAAAATGTTTTCATCATCACAAATAATGTTGTATTGATTTCAAGATGGCTAAAAATAAGCCAGAAATATCATATGTGGACTTCTAGAACTTTTCTTCGAGTGGATACATTTTCTAACAATGTGCCATGATCTTAGTATGGAATACTCTAGCTATATTACCATGTAAGATATGACTAAAATAGTTCTTAAATGGGACTACAGAGCACATTTCTATTTTAAGTTTAGGGAACCAAATGTTTCCTTCTAAATATGAATTGACAAAAAATAAAAATAAAGACTGGGAAGAAAACAATAGGAATAAAAATTTTGTAAAGGGAAAAGGGAAGAAGGATTGAAGAGAAAGGAAGGGAATGAGATAAAAAGAATTAAGAAATAAGATGTGCAGGTACAAATTCCCTATGATGAATGTTATTACTATGTATGTGAAAAGTGTACCAATGAAACCACTTTTTAAAGCCAGTTTAATTTTGCCTTGCAAGTAGTATATTCCATAACAACAATCCAACCATGATATTTAAGTATATGCATTGTTTTTTCTTAAAATAATCAGGAACTTCCATTAAAAATCTATAGAAATCCTTTTTTAAAAAATGCAAGCATTTTAAAATTACTTTAGGAAAGAACCAATCAGAGTATTCTATGTACATGCTAAAATATTCCTTTCTAAACAAAGGGAAATAATGGAATAAAGATATCATATAGTAGGAGTTTATTCATCCCACTTATAGAATTGATTAAACAGTGGCATGCATTTAGATGGAAAGAATGTACTACCAAATGATCTATACCAGTGATAGGGAACCTATGGCATGCATGCTACAGTGGGCACATGGATCCCTCTTTACTAGCATGCGAGCCAAGACACCCCAGCATTGCCCCAGCAGTTGAGCATCAGATAATGGTTCACATAGGGACCGTGTGCATGCTCAGTGATGGTGTTAATGAGTGGCAACTTGCTTTTGCATGGACATGACTGATTAGTGTGCTACCTACCAAGCCTGTACATATATTTTCTGTGACTGGCTGTGATTTTAGCAGAAGCCCTTCTAAGATAGGAAATGCACTCACACGCCTTTTCGGTGGAACATTGCTCTCACGTGCTGGTGGTCTGCAAATTGCAGTGTTGGCACTTGGTGATAAAAAGTGGGTTTTGGGTTGCAGTTTGGGTATTCAGTCTCTAAAATGTTCACCATCACTGGTCTATACTATTAACTTCATTTTCTGTTTAATGCAATGAGTCAAAAAAAGTGAATAACACCTGGCCTCACCCAGAGTAGATCCACAGAAGGTGGCTTCCATGGTGAAGCTGTTCCTGATTCCCATTTTCCACATCACCACCCTTCCTGTTCCTCCTTTGCTCTTCTGAACATTAAACTTGCAAGATGAGAAAGAAAACTGAAAAGGAAATGAAAACAAGAGTCTTATCTTTCTCATGAAGAAGGTTTCAAAATGAAAAAGTAGTTCTGTAAAATCTGCAATTCTCATTAAAGCTTAAGATACTGCTCTTCATTTCCTGATCAATGGAAGTAACTCATTTAAAAATGATATATTTCTGGGGACTATAGATTTTAATTTCTGCAATAAAATTCACTTTTATTATTATATAGCATGTATTCAAATCGGCAGATTAATTCTTTATACTGTTGGGACAGGATCTTATACCTTAAAAAAGGTTCTAGGAAGAGGTTTACACATGTTTCAGAATGCAGTTCAGTAATGTAGTTTTATAGAAAAAAATAAAAGATTATTTTCATATGTAAGATCATTTAAACATATCCTGAAGAATTGTCTATAAAGAGATCAGTGTCTCCCAAGAGATTTTGGGGATTTTTTAAATCATAAAACAAAATTAACTTGTGTTCCATTCTGTGAATTTTAATACATGTAGATTTGTGGAACCACTACTACAGCATGGATACAGTTCTATTGTCCATAAAAAATTTCTTTGTGATATCTCTTACAGTCATACCTCCCTGCCCTCTTCCACCCTGGCAACTAGTAAACTGCTATCATTATGCTCTTGTCTTTTCAATATTGTTATATAAATGGACTCATACAGTATTTGAACTTTTAAAACTGGCTTCTCAAGACTTTGAGATTTATTCAGTGTTGCATATATAAATATTCATTACTTTATGCACAAATAATAGCAGCTTTATCGTATTTTAAAAAAATTAGAAACAGTCCAAAATATTTTTTCATGGGTGAACTTTAATACATCCACATCCTGCACATTGTTTGATCATGGCTCATTAGAATATGATTATGTAGGACAGGAATATTGTAGGTCAACAGCCAGAGTTATCTTGCTTTATCTTTAGCTCCTTTAATAGCCATTTACTATCAACCTCTGTACCCGACTTGACATCCTCATGGCCTTTACATAGAACTCTTAGAATGTATTGCTGAGCTTGAAACAGCTCTAGCCTCTGATGACCAGAAGTGAAGGGTGTGATAAAATCTGAACCCTACAGATCTCCCACCTTTCAGTAGCCCACTTCCCTGATGACCCTATGTATTTTATAATTGATCCATGCCTGTTTTGCTGCATCTATAGCAGTTCATGCAATAGCTTCCATTGTGTAACATGTCATTCAGGTAACTTGAATCCATGTTTCTGGATAATGATCACTCATATTCATTTCAGAACAAACCATTTTATTTCCTTTATGGCATATTATTATTTTGACATTTGCTGAACATTTTTTAAAATCAAAGATGGATGCTTAGTTGTTAAATGTTTTTCCTGTATCAACTGATGTTGATCACGCAATTTTTCCTCTGTAGACCCTTAACACAGTGGATTATAGTGATTCATTTTTAAATATGAACCAGTCTTAGATTCTTGTGATAAACCCAATCTGATCATGATGTGTTACTTTTTATAAATTGCTGGATTATACATGCTAATATTTGGGATTTTTTGCATCTATGTTAATGAAGGACATCAGTTTCTATCTTCCTTGTACTGTCTTTTTCTTGTGTTGATATGAGAATCCTGGAAAACAATGTCTTTAAATATTTGGTCCAATTCTTTAGTGAATCTATTGATATGGGCATTTTGTATTTTGAAAGTTGTTTTGGGGATTTTTTTTTAGGACCATTCAGACTATACATTGCACCTTGGTGAGTTCTGATAATGTCATTGTCAAGGAATTGGTTAATTTCATAAAAGTTGTTAAATTTATGTGCAGAGAGTTGACTTTTCCTTTATTAACCATTCAATATCTGCAAGGGCTGCAGTTATGCCACTCTTCATTATGTTTCTTTCAATTTCTTCTAAGCACTACTGAGACAGGAGCTCAGGGCATGACAAAGCTGGCTGTGGAAGTAGGCACTACCTATTCATTACAAGGTCCTGGACACATGTGTGAAGTAATTTCCAAAGCTTTGCACATGGCCTTCTCCTGAGAACTTCATCAGGTTTTCAATACAACTGGTAAACTAGACCTGACGTCAGCCTGAGACTTGGGATCCATATGTAGAAGTTCTCTCGAGTTTTCTCAAGGAAATATAAGGACAATACAAAAGGACAAACCAAGGCCATTAAGAGCTTGCTACCCTGGCTTTCTTCACAATAGCCTGCCCTGCATCCCCCAGGTGTCCTTCTATCTTGCTTTTTCCTCTTTTACTTGACCCAAGCTCACTCTGCAGAGTCAGTTTCTTCACCCTTTACTTTTACTTTTTTCCAGTAAACTTTGTCACTGCTTTTTGCTCGTTTTGTTCAATCTTTGACTGAGATAAGAACAACCTGGAATCTAACTCCAGGAGAGACGAGCAACCCAAAGCCCAGTAACATTTATTTGGCAAGGCACTTTTAGAAGCAGGCGCTTGATTACACTACTACATTAGCTTAATTTCACAAATTTTTATATGAAGTTTATTTTTGTTTTCCTTCTGGTTAAAGTCTAATCCTTCAGAGTTCCTCTTGGGCTATAGATCATTTTAAAATGTGTGTCTTAATTCTTCAGGGTTTGGAGATTTTCTTTTATTTCTAGTCCAATTCCATTATAATCAGAAAATAAATTATATGATTTAAATTCTTTTAAATTTATTAAAGTTGTTTTAGGGGCCGGGGATTTAGCTCAGTGGTTCAGTGGCCTGCCTTGCAAGCGCAAGGACCCGATTTCAATCCCCGGTACAAAAAAAAAAAAACAACTCAAAAAGTTGTTTTAAATCAGGATATGATCCATATTGGTCATTATTCCTTGTGCATTTGAATATAATATGTATGTTGCTGCTCAGTAGAATGTTATGTAAATGTTAATTAAATCTGGTTGGTTGATGGTGTTGTTGAAATCTTAAACATCCTGTCTACCTATAAGTTCTTGTTTACTGAGAAAGGAATTTGAAAAATCCAATTATATTTGTGAATTTGCAAGATTTTTAATAAGAAACATTGAAGAGAAAATCTAGAAATGGAAATAAGCATAAAATGTATTTGTATTTTTTTTCCCCCTTGAGACAGGGTCTCATTGTATAGTTCAAGCTGGGCTGGAACTCACTATATAACTCAAGCTGCCTCAAACCTGCAGCAATCCTCCTACCTCAGCCTCCTGGCATTACAGACATGTACCACCATGCCAGGCTCTCAAGCATTTGTATTATTTGGGAGATCTCTTTAAACTGTAGATGGGTTGGTTGCGATATTTAAGAAACTGTCTCATTTCACATAAGGTACAACTGGTTAGAGATCTAAGACCCAGAGAAATATATCAATAGACAAATATTAAAATATCGTAATAAAATGGAATCATTTTTTAGAATAAACTATCCCTATGAATATTAACATAACTTTATATATTAATAGCTTCAGTTATGGGGCTGCTTTCTCTGATTTTTCTTAAGGGGTAAGTACTATTGGGTAATAAATGCCTGTGCTTTCTGTAAATATCTGTTCTTACCAGATCATTCTTTCCTTTTTATTTCTTTGGGCCTTAATCACTTCTAGAAAACAATGATTACTTCTGAATGAGTCCTTTATAATTGAATTGGTTCATTCAGAACCTAAGAAGAAGTCTATAGGAATTTTCTTTGTTACAGTAAGATCTTTCCTCCAAAGAATGACTCATTTTTTACATCCTGGTAAATTGAGTGGCTCTAACATTTCCAGTTTGTGCAAATAACTATACACCGTTCTCTTTTCTCATTCTAACTTCTTTATACTTTTGAAATAGTTCTCATTTTTTTCCTGGTAGAATTCTAATAAATCCAATTAAAGACACTGTTATAAATTTCTTATGACTACATGTATTGCTTGTATACTTTAAGCAGTGAAAAAACATTAAAGCAATAAAAAAAATAAGGCTGCCAAACTGATGAAAATGGCAAATAGAGAAAGTGTCAAAAGTAAAAGAGTGTTATACAGTATTAAGAGGTTAGGAGTGGGAATTTTTGTCTTTTTAAATATTTTAAAATTATTGGTCACTGAATAGTGCCACACTGTTTTTTCTTATAGTCAACTGTATAAATCAGTCAGAATAAATAAAACACAGGTTACTGAGCAGGATTATCTGTTCCTCTGTCCTGCAAGGGCAACATTTAGTAAAGGAAAAGTTAAAATCCTAAAGGAGCTTACTTTATCAGGGCAATTTTTACTCAGCATAAGTGGAAATATCCGTTGTTGTAAGTATAATGCTTTAGACCTGTCACTACCACCACATCCGTACATGAAGATGTTCTCTTTTCTACTGTGGCCATGAAGATCACAATATAAAATAACTTCTTGTTTCTCCATCAATCTACCAAAAAGAAAAAGGATGTTACTAAATTTTAGCTCTGAATTTTCTTCTGTGGGTTCACTTATAAAAATGTTATATCCAAGTAATTAGAATTTCTTATATCCTAGCTTTCAAGTACTTTCTCTTATAGCCATACCACATATTGTTATTAATATACACTTTGAATAAATCTATAATTTCCTATTAGCTTATATATAAAATCTGAATGCTGTAGTTCCATTGTAAGGGCAAAATTTATTCTCAAGACTTTCCCCAGCGAGATCTCTGTGCTGTATCTTTCCAATTTTTCTGGTGTGCAGAGAAAATAAATTATTTCTTTCTCTGCGCCTTACATTTTATGTAGATTCTGACTGAAATCCCTTCCCTATGTATCTTTAAAAACCCAAATACTAACTCCATCTTTTAAACTCAAACTTACATCTCACTTCTTACCTAACTTACAAACCCATCCATTTTTCTCTTTTTGAACTTCTGCAGCACTTTACTGATATCATATACTTGGTACTTGCCTAGGTGTTTTCATACTTTTGATATTTAAGCTCATTAAGGATAAAAAATACTTCAAATTATTTACAATTGTGCTCTGCACATAAGCACCCAGATATTTGTTAAAAGTGGCATACATTTCTAATAAATATTGTTAAGAAATTTTGGTAGAATTTTAAAGAGCTCAATCCTTAAATCTATACAATTTAGCACTTTATTTTAAAAAATAAAAAAGTCCCCTCAAACTCATTGATGAAAATGACTAATAAAGGAGGCTTTAAAAAAGTAATGTTAAAATGTTAGAATAATTGACATTATCTTTTTTCATATCTTCAAGCTTTATATAGCATATTTTTAATAAAATTACACTACATACCTAAATTAGTATTACTATGAAAATGCTAGCAATTTTATATGAAATATAAAATATTTAAGATTAAAACACCTAAAGCATTGCTTTTATTAAAAATACTCCTCAAACTGCAATAAAATTTCAAATGAAAATCTGTTAACATATTAATATATTGCCTTTATCTCATTTGGTGCCTAATACATTCTAGTTGATAACATGCAGCTGATGTAAAGTTGCTAAAAGATCATTACTAGTTAGAAAACTAACCAGCTTATAAAGCATGAATATTAAGTTAAACCCTTAAGTATATAGCATACTATACATTTTTAAATCCTAAATTTTTGCTTAGTGATGTTTCAGCTTCCTCAGTGGAAATAAATCTCTAATTAATTCCCAAAGAAATATTACTTCTGAAGTAAAACAGGTATCTTTCACCTTACATTAATTAAAAGAACTTTAGGAACCGTTTGGATTTTCTTCTTAGCCACAGTTAACAAAGATACTGTAATTATTTTATCTTATCCTAATGTGCTCTAAGTGTAGTTAGATATATTCACAGCATTTACCTTTGCACATCTATGTAACTGACTTCTTTTATTATTTATCCACTTTGATTAATTACATTAAGGTATTTCACTTTCTTGGAAGTCTTTTTGAAACTTGTTAAACAGACTCTTAATCTTCCAATAAGGCAATATGAGAACTAACCCATTTACAGGAGTTTCCTGAGAGACAAGCCAAAGGGTGTTGGTCTATAATCAAACATCTGTCAGAGCAGGGACACTTAATGTCAAAGAGCATGAAGCAGACATTACAGTAGGCATCCCATCAACTTCTTTTATCTCTATTTCTATAGCTGTATTTATTTATTTATTTATTTACATAAAAGTTGCAGATATAGTAGAAAACATTGTTGTACACCTCTCTCCCAGATTCCCCTAATGTTAACATATTATATAACCATGGTACATTACTAAAGAAGCCAACACTGGCACATTACTATCAAACTCCCATCTTTGTTTGAATTTCACTAGTTTTTCTACTAACATCATTTTTCTACCCCAGAATCCAGCTCAGGATATCATTTTGGACATAGCTCTTCTTTACTGTTGGCATCCCTAAGAAAAAAGAAGTCACAGGTTGTTTTTATTAATTTTTCCCCAAATAATTTGAAGGAATCACAGAGTTCACATTTGTGAGGAGTATAAAACCAGGGTTTGCAGCCTCATTATGGGGTTCTGCACTTCACTTTCTATATTCCTAAGCAGATAACAGGATTCTTATGAAAGTGAAAGTTGAGGCTAAACTGATACAACTGGAGCCATTCCAGGTTCTTCTAAAACCTGTTATCTCCTCAGAAGAGCAGGAAGTACTCTAGGGGTTCTTAGTTTTGTAGCATGATTCTTGTGCTTGCTACTGTGAGGAGGAGTCCTGGTAATAAAACTGGATAAAGAGATAGCATTCACTATGACAATATTCATTATTGTAACATTTGAATAATTAAACAATTTACAATGAGTTTTCACTATATTTGACTAAGTTACCTTTTTTCTTGTCCCAGTTGAAGAATCTCATTGAATGCTTTAGTTTTCTTACTTTTTTTTTTTGAGATGTAGTTCAGGCAGGACTTGAACTCACTGTGTAGCACAGGCTGGCCACAAACTTGCAGTAATTCTGCCTCAGCCTCCCAAGTGTTGGGATTTTAGGCGATACTTTAGTTTTCAAAGTATCCATCTCTATTCTGAGCATACTAGTAATAGTTTTCTCATGTAATTCTCTCAACTCTGAGGTATTATTATTATTCCCATTTTACAGATGATAAAACTGAGATGTCTTTAAATTGTACAAGGTAATGTAGTTAGTAAATGATATAGCAGGAATTCCATTGTGATATGCTTAATTCTGAAATCCATGCTGTTAATAAAAAAGGTTAAGAGGCCTTGGATTTGGAATGGGTGTAGTCTGACTCCAATAAATCTTTCTATTGCAGCACATGTCTATTCCTAATTGTTATTACCCAGATCTGACAAAGAATTCACCTAGTCATTGAATAGTTAAATATTATGTACAGTTTACTTTTCAAGATTCTTTGGAAAATGTAAAGCTATTCAGTTTTTCTAGGGGCAAATAAAACTATTATTCATGTAGCCAGGCGTGGTGGCACACATCTGTAATCCCAGCACTCGGGAGGCTGAGGCAGGAGGACTGTTGTGAGTTTGAGACCAGCCTGGGCTACACAGTAAGTTCCAGGTCAGTCTCAACTATAGTGGGACCCTGTCTCAAAAAAAAAAAAAACAAAACAAAACAAAACCAAAAAAACCAAAAAACCAAAAAACCAAACTATTATTCATGAAAGTAACCTGATAGGAAAAGGCTTGTCCAACAATGTATGATCAACACAATGCTATAGGGCTCTCTGAGATGTAACCTTCACATATAAGGGATGCAATAATACCAATGCAAACATCAATGGTACTGTTAGCTTTTAGCAAGAAACCAAATTTGGGATATGCAAATTTCTTATTAGTTTTACAGAGCCATCAAAATATTCTAGAACCCACTTCATTATTTAAGAGTAAGATAATGAAACCAGCGGTATAAATGCCTGAAGGGTATGAAATCAGAGTTGTGAAGAACAGGGAAAAAATAGTTATAAACTATCTTACAAAAGGTTATTGAGTAAAATGAATGGGATTGTGGGAACAAAATTCTTACTACCAAGTCTACTAATTAATCAGAGAGGTGATTTGAGGATTCTTTTACCTATGAACCATATTCCGGGTATACCAAACAGAAGGAAAAGATTCCTTCAGAAGAGATGTATAATTACGGTTTAAGTCCTGTCCAGTTAAGGAACACCGATAATTTCCCACAATCACACCATCTGGATTCAGCATGGGTACCACCTTGAAGACAAAAGTGTCCCGAAGCAACTGTGCATCACTTGAGTGTCCTAAAATGTAATCAAGGAAACCTTTCATAATCCAAGAGCTGTTGGTTTCTCCTGGATGGACCCGTGCAGTCAAAATCACAGCCTTTCGCTTTCTGGAGTCAGTGTTCTTCAAGGGAGTGGTGATTGTTAAAACGTACACCATATTCCTAGCAAGTGTGTGGCACAAAACACGTATTTTACAAAACTTTGACCGGACAGGGTCATTGTTGATGCTAGAAAGGTATTCTTGTAGGTTGGTGTAAGTGTATGGATAGCAGTGAGCAAAGTAGCAGGTATCCTTGTTGTGTGGAAATTGAAATGTCCATGTAAGAGAGAAAAAATGGCGCCCATCTTGCCCCAGGTTGTTCCTGTAATACTTGATCTGGTCTCCTATTCTCTGCCAGCCAATATTACGAGCCTTGGCCTCTTTTTCAGAATAGAACAGTGGGCGCATACCACGATTGTAAAGACTAGCAGGTTTGGTGAAGTTGACAATAGTGAATCTGTAGTCCATTTCTGCTTGGGTATTAGTCACTTGGAAGTAGTACCATTGTGTATGTTTATTTGTGAAGAGGTCAGGGCGCACAGTCAAGTGGTATTCATATTCTGCCCTAATATACAAGAAAGATAAAAACACATAAAAATGAGAAAATGACATTTGAATGAGTAAAATTATTTAACTTAAGGAGTAAAATTACTTAATTTTTAGAAGTTTTACTTATGCACAGTAAATTCTTTTGGGAACCAATGTTTACTTAGATCAAATATCAAGTGATTTACAAGAAAAGTTTTGAAATTTTCTCATTTATTGGGTGAGAAACTGCAATTGCATTTTGGGATTAAGTAACTTGCTTTTGGATTTTATAGAGGTTCATATCAAAGAGGTGAGACTTTGACTTAGAATCTTGAGAAATGCTGGAAGGGTTGAGAGTTTGGGGAAGGGATTAATGTATTTTTGGTTGCATGCAGGATGGTTATGTCACATTAGGTGAACTTGTTACTGTATTTATTTGGATATTAAATATGGTTTAAGAAGATGTGTTTGGGTGTCAAGTTGACCAGTAGTGAAATGCAATGGTTAAGCTTAATTGTCAGTTTGACTGGCTTGAGAACTGCCTAGAGGTTTGGTAAAGTCCCCTCTTAGGAGTGTTTGGGTGGATCACGGAGGTGTAACTTTGGGCTGTACATATAGTTCCTCTGTGGTGCTGTGCCCTTTGCTTTCTGGCTACCATAAACAGAGCATCTGTTCTCTTCCACACCCTTCTGTAATAATGCTTCTGCCTTGAAGCCAGCTGACTATGATCTGAATCCTCTGAAACCATGACCCATTTAAACCTTTCCTCTCTCAAGTTATGGATACTGGATATTGTGCTCAGCAACAAAAAGTTGAATAATACACTATCCTACTTCTAAAGGCTTTGTACAATGGACCCTTAACTTACAAACTCATTTTGTTTCCAAAGACTAGTTGTAATTCAAGTTGGTCAACAGAAGGCCCAGGCTTCTCTACATGGCCTTCAAAGTCTCCCTTCTATATAATTTTAGGCCACACTTTCTTCCAGGCAGATCTCAGAATCCTGGGCCAGAGACATTAGCCCAGGATTTCTCAGTTAACCCTACAGAGGAAAGGATGTTTTAATGTTCCTTCCAGAACTCTTTAAGGGTTAAATCTATACCTAAGACCATCTGAAAGTACAAGTGGCTGGCATTTGGGTCATAACTCAAGACTTTGGTTGTAAGTTAAAACTAAAATTCCATTCAAAACACAAGTTGTTTACTTGAGGGTCTGCTGTATTTTTTGTAATTCAAGGAGACACATAAAATACAAACACTTGATAAAATTTATATATTTCAATGTAATTATTTCCTATAAAATGAATGATTGAAGAGTTGAAACTGAAACTGAAGAAAAAACCCAATTTTTTTAAAACTTGAAATACATAATTGTGTTTTCTAATAATTCCAGTTCTAGGAATATGAAAGAAATTTCATTGAGAAGTTTTAAAACACACTTAAATTAATAACAGATTACAAAATGTGAACTCCTCTGATACAAGGACTATATTTGATAACTATCTGTACCCTATACTTAGTCACTGAAGATGATTAAAGAAAAAATTATTCACATGAATCTTCTTTGTTCATAACAATGTTATTTGTGACTTCTTCCTTTACCAAGTAACTTTAAAAAATATGGATGTGTGCATAATAAATAATGACCCAGAGTAGGTGAAATAAATCTTATAATAAACCCTTGGTACCTCTAATTAACAGCTATACTTCTGGTATTACAGTTGAGTAATGAATACTGAGAATTTTTAATGTACACAATACAGAATATAATTAATAGCTAGTGGTCTAGATTCTCAAATTAAAATAATGAAAACCTACACTTTGACTACCTTCTGTAGATTACCACTCTCAAACCTTGCTTCAAACATCAAAGTGTTGTCACAGCCATCCACAGGCTGCTTCAAAGGTGTTCTGTTGCCTCCGACTCGAGAATACACAAAACAGGGCTCTTTGTAAGCTGATGAGAGATGAAGACCACAGAGATATCAAGACATGTCTAGAGTATGCATCCTCTTCTGTATAGAGTTAAAAATCACAGTCCTACAAGTAGAAGGATTTTAAATTTAAAGTAACTTGACACTAATATGTGTAGATTCACGTTAAAGTTAGTCTATGAGTACTTAGGCTAGAAAAGCAATATCTAAAATGAAATTATGTATTTTTCATATTGAAAATAATTGTTCCCCTTCTGGTAATGACAAAATAAAACTTGTTCTGAACTTTCCCTTTCACTGTAAATGACTAAAACTGGACAAAAATTATAACCTGTTTCCATATAGAACAGTACTACATAGGCTCTCTGAAAAAAGATAAAATATGAAGTAGGCCCATGCTTAGCTCTGGATTTCCATGGAGTGGGTATTTGCTGGACTACAGTTTAGGAAAGTTGCACTTAAGAACAGTGAGATAGGTGGGTGTGGTGCACATGCCAATCATCCCAGCACTCTGGGAAGCTGATGCGAGAGGACTGCAAGTTAAGACAATTTATTGACTTAGTAAGATACAGTCTCAAGAGGAAAAATTGAAAGGACTGAGGATGTAGCTCAGCTCTTTCACATGCTGTCTAAAAACCAAGTATTCAAGTTTTTTTTTTTTTTTTTTTTTTTTTTTTTGTAATTTCATTAAAATTTCCTAAGTTACTGTGTGTCATCCCATCCCTGACAGGAACCTGACTGACTCACCTCAATTCTGTTTATTAGTTCTCATTTTAGTTATTAGTGGAAGCTTGAAGGCAAGTCAGCAATGTAAATATCTGAAATCAAATTCTAAAGATTGGAGTTACGGGCCAGGGTTAGCTCAGTGGTTCTGCCACCCGCCTCGTAAGCTCAATGTCCCAAGTTCGATCCCTGGTCCAAAAAAAAGAAAAAAAAAAGTGGGTGAATATATGGTTTGATTTCTAGAATTGCTTACTGTACTGGGAACAGTTCCTGTGAATTTCTGTCTTGCCAGCCCTTTAAATAAAATATGTATGAGGTATATAAGCACTATAGTGAATGCTTAAATTTTTAAAAGTTTATTAGAGTAAAAGACACATTATTGCGAGTTCCCCTCAAAGTACTCCACTTGCTTCAAACACACTTGGGCAGTCACTGCCACTTTCTGAAACAGTTCTGGAAGTCATTCTTCATGAGTGTCTTTAGTTGTGCTGTTGTGGCTGTCTCAATGTCCTGAACTGATTCAAAGCATTTCCCTTTCATTGTCATTTTGACTTTTGGGAAGAGCTGGAAGTTGCACAGTGCCATATCTGGTGAACAAGGTAGATGAGGACACACAGTAAGGTTTTTTTTATAGGCCTGCCTTTTCATTGGTTGTCTCTTGGCAGTGGCATTTACCAGTATTTTTGATTATAACTTGTAAACACATTCACAAAAAAGGATTTCCAGAACTGCTTCAGAAAATGGCAAGAACAATGGGATAAATATATTTGAAGCAATTGGGAGTCTTCTGAGAGAGATTCATGGCAATGTATCTTTTACTGTAATGCATATTTCATATTTAAACATTTACTGTATATTTCAATCACACTTCATATACTTCCTGGAAAGTTTTCAAATATATGAATACTGAACTCTGATAGTAAAATTGTTCAGAAGTTCCATAATTCTTCACATTAATGCTTCAGAGGCAGTACAACAGGATATAAGCTGAGTTTTCTATGTTTGATTATTTCCATTCTCAACAGAACAGGCATAAGGTTTTGGTTTAATAGAGCTCACAAAATGCAAATATTGATCGTGAGTGTTAAGGATTGTTTTTTTCTGAGGTAAAATCTTGGATGTGATTTGCAATGTGGGATATTTTCTCTTTGAAAAAAGAATAACTCCAAGAAATGTGTCAAACAGGTATGGAATTAAAACCATTTAGATGACTGGGTGAATATGAGCTATAGATGAGAAAGGGAGAAACAGTTGTGGAGAACTCCACTGCATTCATCTTTGAAAAATCATGTGATGCATAATTCATTCAAAATATAACTCTCTATTCTAATAGATAACATGGTGTTATGTTTGTGAACTGCTGTACATCTTCAAAAATATAATCAGCACTAAACACTGGAATCATATGCAACCACACATTTTTTATGAGGACACAGACTTCTTGGAAAACTAAAATTTCTACTACAATCCATATAGCTAAGATATTAACCCAGGCATCAAATTATAATTCCAGCAATGTATCTCATTCTATACCCACCATCTTCAGCGAGGTAAACAACAGTGTCTTCCTTTGAGTTTGGGTAAAGGGGTTCCATTTCAAGGCCTGTTGGGATGTACACTGGCTCAGGATAAAAAGGAGCCCAATCTGGAAAAAAGGAGGAAGCATTATTATTTGAATACTACTTCAAAATAGGAAAGTTTGATTGGATATTTTCAATCTAGGCCAGTCTGCTTAGTTTTTTATGTTGGGCTGGATTTTACCAAGGGTTCATTTGAAATAATAATGGACACTGTTACAGTATAACAAAACTCACAATCATATTTCATGTGTAAATGTTCTAAATTACATTAACTCAAGATTATTTTGATAAATCTCATATTATAATTTATATTTCTATTAAGCCCTTGATGCCATTCTATCCCACCCCTGAGACTCTTGCTCTACCTTTTATTTTTATTTCCTTGCAACTTCAGCCTCTTGCTTCACAGTGATTGTCTCCAACATTTTTAACATGTCCGTGTTTCCTCCATCTCCCAGAAGGATGGGTATTCTTTGGCCCTCTCTGCCTTTTCCTTCAGCTACCAGCTTTCCTTCTCTTCATTAGAATCATATTTCTTTCTTACAAGTTGTAAGAAATCCTTCCAAGCATGAACTATTTGATGGAAAAAATGACTTCATGGCCTAACTGTATTTTTTACTATAAGAATTTGGTTATTAGAAACAAGCATGACTGGGAAAATATTTTGAGGATTCCAACAAAAATGTATTTCTGAGAGGAAGAGATGACAAACATAAATACATATGCACCAAATACTAATGCCCCCTACTATACAAAACAAATATTAAGGGACACGAAACACCAAATAAGCACTAATACAATTGTAGTGGGGGACCTCAATACCCCACTGTCACAAATAGAACATCTAGATATAAAATCAACAACAAAATACTAGAACTGCACCAAGCTTCTGAACAAATGGACTTAAGAGACGTCTACAGAGTGTTCCACCCCACAAAATAAGAATATACATTCTTTTTGGATGCACACAGGTCATTCTCCAAAACATACCACATGTTAGCGTATAGAACATGTTTAAATAAATGCAAGGGAATTGAAGTTATCCCCTGTATATTAACATAAGAAGCCGCAAGAACTTCATAAACACATGGAAATTAAACACCACTTTCCTGAACAACCAGTGGGTCAAGGAGGAAATTAAAGAAATTAGTTTCTATAATTAAATGATAATGCCAATACAACATACAGGAATTTATGGGACACAATGAAAGCAGTTTTATGAGGGAAATTCATAGCAGTGAATACCTATACTAGGAAAACAGAGTGAGCTCAAATAAACAACGTAATGCTAAACCTTAAGCTCCGACAAAAAGAGCAAGACAAACCCAAAGCTCATACAAGAGATGAAATTATAAAGATCAGAGCAGAAATCAATGCAATAGAGACTAAGTGAATATACAAAAGAATCAATGAATTGAGCTCGGGATTTGGCTCAGTGGTTCTGCTGCCTGCTTCCAGTGCAAGGGCCAGAATTCAATCCCTGGTGCACGCGCATGCACAAACATGCACACACACACACACACACACACACACACACACAATCAACTAATTGAAGAGGTGGTTTTTTGAAAGAATAAATAAAATTGATAAATCCTTAGCCAAGCTTGTCAAAAAACAGAAAGAAAAGGCTCAAATCCATGCAATTAGAAACTAAAAAAAGTGAAGTCACAACAGATACAGCAGAAGTCCACAGGATCATCAATATCTACTTCCAGAACCTGTACTCTAATAAAATGAGAAACACAGAAGAGGCCGGGCGTGGTGGTGCACTCCTGTAATCCCATCACTTGGGAGGCTGAGGCAGGAGGATCACTGTGAGTCCAAGACCAGCCTGAGCTACACAGTGCATTCCAGGTCAGTCTCACTACATAGTGAGACCCCTGTCTCCAAAAACCAGAAAAAGAAAGAAAAAAAAAAAAGAAAAACACAATAGAAATGGACAGATTCCTAAATGCATATGAATTACCAAAGTTGAACAAATAAGATATAAAAATTCTGAACACTCCAATTACAATCAGTGAAATTGAAAATGTAATTAAATTTTACCAACAAAGAAAAACCCAGGTCCTGATGGCTTCACTACTGAGTTCTACAAAATATCTAGAGAAGACCTATTGCCACTACTCTTTAAACTCTTCAGTGAAATTGAAAGGAACACAATACTTCCCAAATCACTCCTGGAAGCAAGTGTTACTTTGATTACAAAAGCAGAGAAAGACCCAAACAAAAAAGAGAACTACAGGTCAATCTCCCTAATGAACATAGATACAAAAATCCTCAACAAGATACTGGCAAACAGAATACAAAGGGTGATCAAAGAGTTCACACACCCTGGCCAAGTTGGATTTATCCCAGGGATGAAAGGATGGTTCAAAATACATAAATCAATAAATGTAATACACTATATTAACAGAGCCAAGGACAAAAACCATATGATCATCTCAATAGATGCAGGAAAAGCATTCAACAAAATTCAACACCCATTCATAATAAAAACTCTGCAGAAAATTGGAATAGATGGTCTTTATCTCAACCTGATAAAGGCCATCTATGAAAAACCAACAGCCAACATCATATTAAATGGTCAAAAATTGAAAATCTTCACACTAAAATCAGGAACAAGACAGGGATGTCCACTATCACTACTCCTGTTCAATATAGTTTTGGAAACATTAGCCACAGCAATTAGAAAAGAGAAATAAATAAAAAGAATAAAGATAGGAAAGGAAGAAGTTAAACTGTCATTATTTGCTGATGATATGATACTCTACACAAAAGACCCAAAAAACTCTGCCAAAAGACTTCTAGACTTAATTGACAGTTTAGTAGAGTAGCTGGATTCAAGGCCAACACTAAAAAATCAATAGCCTTTTTGTACACAAATAACGGACTCACTGAGAGAGAAATCAGGGAGTCAATTCCTTTCACAATAGCATCCAAAAAATGAAATATCTAGGAATCAATCTAATGAAGGAAGCAAAAGATCTCTACATTGAACGGTGCAGCACTCTGATAAAAGAGCTTGAAGAGGATATAAGAAAATGGAAAGATATTCCCTGTTCCTGGGTAGGAAGAACCAATATATTGAAAATGGCCTTACTTCCAAAAGTGCTACACAGATTCAAGGCAATCCTGATTGAAACTCCAATAGTATGTTTCACAGAACTAGAGAAAACAATCCAAATTCATTTGGAACCAGAAGAGACCTACAGTAGCAAAAGCAATTCTAGGCAACAGAGACATGCTAGGGGGTATCACAATTCCAAATTTGAAACTATACTACAAAGCCACTGTGATTAAAAATAGCATAATGCCGGGTGTGGTGGCACATGCCTGTCATCCCAGCACTCGGGAGGCTGAGGCAGGAGGATTGCTGTGAGTTCGAGACCAGCCTGGACTACATAGTGAGTTCCAGATCAGTCTCCTACATAATGAGACCACTCAAAAAAACAAACAAACAAAAAAAACCACACCACACCAAAACAAAACAAAACAAACAAACAAACAAAAACCAGCATAGTATTGGCAAAGAAAAAGAACCAAGGATCAGTACAATAGATTAGAAGATGCAGAAACCACTTCAGACATATGCAGCTACCTCATCTTTGACAAAGGAGCCAAGCATCCTCACTGGAGGAAAGATAACCTGGTGTTGCAAAACTGGATTTCAACTTGCCAAAGATTAAAACTAGACCCCTATCTTTCACCATGCACTAAACTAAAATTGAAGTGGACTAAAGATCTAAATATTAAAACAGAAACACTAAACTTGCTGGAAGATAAGCTAGGTCGAACTCTCAAAGACATTGGCACAGGAAAAGACTTTATGAACACATCCTCAGTAGCACAGGAACCAGTACAAAGAATCAACAACTGGGATCTCATCTTATTGAAAAGCTTCTGCACTGCAAGAGAAACCACCAGTAGAACTAAGAGACAACTTCAGTGGGGGAAAAATTTTTTTACCTGCTGTTCCTCAAAGGTCCATTATCTAGAATATATAAAGAACTCAAAAAAATCAGACCCCCAAAATATAAAGACCCAATTAAAAAATGGGCATCTGAAATGAACAGACATTTCTCAAAGAAGTAAAAGCAGCAAACATACAAAAAACTGTTCAATATTATTCATCAATCGAGAGATGCAAATGAAAACAACACTGAGATTCTACCTCATCCCAGAAAGAATGGCTGCTATTAAGAAGTCAACCAATAACAAATGCTGGTGGGGTTGGGGGAGAAAGGAACCCTTCTCCACTGTTGGTGGGAATACAGAATGGTGCAACCACTGTGGAAATCAATATGGAGATACCTCAAAATATAGCATTAGAGGTTCCATTTGATTCAGCCATTTCTCTGCTGGGTATCTTCCCAAAAGAATTAAAAGAATCACACCATAGTGATATATGCTCACCCATGTTTATAGCAGCACAATTTGTAATAGCTAAAACTTGGAAACAGCTTGAGACTGATAAAGATGTGGTTTTTGTTTTGTTTTATGAAATGGTGTACTACTCAGCCATAAAGAATGAGAAACTAGAGACATTTATAGCTAAATGGACACTCACTGAAGCAATACTCTTATGTGAAATAAATAGGATGAATGTGTAAATACTGGTTTCTCTAGTGTGAAAAACTAAAAGTGTAAATAAGGATCAAAATGTATAATTGATAATTGAAATAGGAAGAAAAGGTCTAAAGGAGAAGGGGAGTGGGAGGTATAGCGAAAAAAAAACATGAGAAAGGGAAAAAATGAAAACAAAGTCCTTGTAAATAGGGATGGGTGTGGGGAGTGAAGGGAGGGCAGGAGAATTGGGAAAAATTAAAACCAAGATACATCATGTAAAAGTATGAGATCCTAATGATGAGTGTAACTGTACTGTATACCTAAAATTTGCCAATGAACTTAATGGAAAAAAATGTTACTAGAGGTAAAATCATGCTATAGAAGAAAATCTTAGGCTACGCATATTGATGGAAGTATACGTCATGGTGGATGGTAGAGCCAACTGAACAACACATAATCAGTCTGATAATAAAGATAAGCAATAAAAATTATAATGAAAAACAATACTCTTTTTAGTTGAAAATATTAATGAATTCAAGCCAAAATTAATCACAAATTAATACCTAGATTTCATTCGGACAACCAAAAATTTCAGCTATTTGCAGCTGATTAAAGCTTACATGACATCTAGAATTTTGGTTAAAAAAAGATATTTCATCAATTTTTGCTTGTGCCCTCCATTAACTTTCCTTATTGTAAAAGAACATGAAAATGTATCATCAAAACTGGAAAAATAACTTGTATATAAAGGTAAACTTTGCAGTTTATCAGTTTGTTTGCTGCGAACCAAATCTGAGAATCAGTCTCAACTTACTTCAGTGTAGCTTTTGTTCATTTCAGTCCCATGCCTACTGTTCCATGAAAACTTCTTTCCTACAACATCTTGCTAAGGAAATACATGTGGAATAGGGCAGGTCAATAATACAAAGGGTATAACATGAGTTTCAGTAACACTGGGAGTTGATTAAGCAACCAGAGAAGTAGAAACTCTCTGTCCTAAGCCTGTGACTGAGGACAAAATGAAGGCTGAGGGTAGGGCTGGGTGATGTAAGGACCATAAAGCTGCACTGAGAGTATGAAGTGGGATGTCTAATGAGACTGGGATAAAACAAGCTGAATGGAATAGGAAGTGGGCTTGGGGAGTTCTGGGGAGCAGAGGCAGGGTGGGGTCCAGCTTCCCTCTGCCCATATGGGTCTCTCCTTATCTCCTGTCACTGCTATTATAGGAGAAAACTTGGAGAGAGAAAACAAAAACAAAAACAAAAACAAAACACACACAACCACCGAGTATGAACACAGAGGGATATGGTGAAATACAGTCAAATATGGACTTTTCCGTTCCATAAATGTCCATTAAAATGAAGCTGGAAGTCAAAAAGAAAAGAAAAAGAAATGGACATAAAAAGATAAAGAGGAACAGAAAAAAAAAAGACAGGAAGAGGCAATAAAGGATAAAGACACACTGGGAAGAAAAGACATTTAGAGGGAGAAAAAGAGGAGCAACAGTAAGCACACAGGCAACAGTATAGTCAATGAACATCCTGGCACAGTCTCTATGAACATGACTGTGACTTGGGTGGAAATGTTTAGAATAATTAAAGCTCTGGCACATAACTTAAACCCAACATGTGCTACTTTAACACCTGAAGTGTGACTGATATGAATTATCGATAAATATAAATGCATACCAGATTTGGAAGATCTTGTATAAAAAGAAAAAAATGTATCCTTGGATATATTTAGGTTAAATGTACTCTTAAAATTAATTTTTTTAACCTTTATAAATGTAGTTACTAGAAAATTTACAAGTACAGATATATAGCTCATGTTATATTTATCCTGGAATATACTGTTCTAACACTATGAGTGCCCTAATTAAAATAAAAATAGACAAAGTAAGTTTGTTAATGTCTGCAAGCCTAAAACTGCTAGAAACATACCAATGTGCTGGACTTTTTCATCAATGACCTCAGAGTGGTATGGCCACCTTGTTGGGCTCAATGGACCAGAAGAAGACACACCATATAAATCTCGGGGTTCACGAAGGCGTGGTACCCATGTCCCTAGCTGATATTCCAATAGTATCTGTGTAGTTCGAGGGAAGAATGGATCACTAATAGCATTGGCTGAAAAAGATATTCAAACACCACGAGTGACAAGAAGGAAAACTCCAAGTCCTAGGATTTTTATATAGTTTTTTTTAAACACTATTCAAATGATGGATATTTATGGATATCATTAGAACTAACATATCATGGCATTTAAAAATAAAAGTACTAACAGAATCTCGTTAACAACTGATGTTCTTAACAGATAAAAGAATGGTTGCAACCTTGTATATTATTAAGCTGAATTCTTAATTGAACTCTAAAAATGTCTGTTTCTAGCAAATTATCTTTTAACTCTTAATCAGACTATTTGGCTAATCCATTAAATACACTCATTGACTATGATTCCTCGCTACTTACTGGAACTGTATTCCCAAAGGTTGCTAGTGAATTCTGCCATAACTTTTTTCTCAACTGTCATTCTACGGCTAGTGTGACATGACCCCCAGGCTACTATGTGACATGATTCCCACGCAGTGGGCTGCACCCAAAGGCAGTACAGTGGTCCTGTCTCTTTCAGTGTAGTAATTCTGTGGCATCAATTTGAAGGAAGCTCTCCTTAAACTCATTTCCTGTTCCTTGTGATGCTACAGAAACTGCCAATTAAACACTAGCTATAGACTTCCCACTGCAATGATGCAAGGAAGGCTTCTGTGCCACTTAACCAAACATCTTTTTCCCCTTCATTTTGCACTTACCCTGTAAAAGCTTTCGCCTCAGACCATTCAAGCGAAGCCCCTAAACCACTTTTCTAAGCTTCTCAATTAATGAACTGCTGTTTGTTCAAATAATTCTTAATGTATCAGTTTAGCTTTTAACAGTTTACACAAATTACATCATCTTAAACATAGTATTCTGTGACTGTTTCATATTATATATCATGGACAATTGTCTCTATCAGTATTAACTAGATCCCTTTATTCCTAGCTGAATAGTATAATATATATCTTAAACATATGCACTGTAAATTTAAAAATTTCCTTATTTAGATACTTTCCAACTTTTGACTCATCTTGAGAATTAGAAGGGATATCTTCCCTACCAACTACCAAAACATCAAATTTAAAGCTACTATAATTTATAAGATGTCAGCAACCCAGGATATAGGTAAGTGATCAGTGTATCAAGTCCAGGAATGGGTAAATAGCATTTAGTATTTGATATGGTATATTTAGTATATGATACAGGTGTCATGCCAAAAGTCACATGATAAAGATGACATTTCAAATCAGTGATAAAAGAAAAAGTCAGACTTTAATAAATAATCCTTTGGACTACAAAATGGCAAGAGAGCTATTTCTGAATTAGGAAATAAAATCTATTATTCATACAGGACTTCCAAAAATATGTAAGACAGCTATTTTTGATTAGGAAATAAAATCTATTTCTCATATAGAACTTCTGAAAAGATGGCAGAGTGGTGAACAGCAGACAAACAGCCTCCCTAAGATTTGGTGTCCAGATGCTGGAATATAGCAAAGTGAGGAAGAGGAGGAGGTAAGTGGATCCCCAGGACCCAGCAAGAATCCGAAGCAAAACTTGAAGCCCATGGGAAGAGCAAAGAAAGAGACCTCAATGCAGAAGATGGAGGTGGCAAGTAGCACTTTCTCCATGAGCCCTGATTCAATTCCTGGGAGGGCCAGCTCAAACCTGAAGATACACAGTGACTACTGGTGACCCCAGAGTACTGGTGACTCTTGGCCTCCATGGAGAAACACACCAGTGGAATCGAGCAGTGGATTGTAGTTGCTGCAAAGTTATTGAGGTTCAGATGCATCCCCAAGAGAGGGCAACTGGCTGGTAGCCTTCTTGGAAAGGAGACAACTGAGCTAGGAAATCAGTGCAGCTATGGGCTGGTTTCATCTAGCAGGCTCCAGTGTCAGGGAGAAGCAGAGGTGAGTTCAGGTAACCTTGAAATGGACATTTTTTTCTTTTGATTGTTCTTGTTTTTATGAGTGTGAACATTGTTTCTAGTTTTTCTGTTGTTCTGTTCTATACTTGTTTTTATCTCTTCTCTTTTCCTCCTGCTTTCTTCACCAGTTTCCCAGTTTGTGTAATTTTTCTTTGTACTCCAGCCTTACATCTATTTTTTTCTCTTCCATTTCTGTACCTGCCCCAACCTCTTTTAAATTTTCTCTGTGAGGGTAAAATTGCCATATTGAGGGCACATTTACTGTATACAATTTTCTGGTTTGTTTTAAACTTTGTTATATATCACAAATATAGTTCATATAGTTCAAGGTGGCAAATTAATAGTTACCACACTCTGTCATTTCTTAGGCTGTATTTGAAGCTATTGTTACTGCTGATTGTACTACTTTAGCCAAGGTAACAATCAGAACAAGGTTCTAATCAGTTGTTCTTCCTGGTATGCCAAGACTGAGATTGCCTCATAAAAAATAAACAATACTATAGGCCAGTGCCAAAGAAAAGGGGGTAGGCCAAATAGGAAGCAACTTTTCATCCTCAATAAACTGAAGAGGTAGGATCTTGCAACAGACTCAAAACCCAAAAGCCAGCTACACATGGAAAGCATTTCTGAGAAGTAGTCATTTCATAAGGGTTCCCAATAAAGCAATCAACCAAGAAATTAAACTAGAAACAAAATAGAAAGTGAGAAGACATTTATGCAAGATGCAACGCAACCCCCAACTTCCAGCTCGCCAAAGGCAAATCCAGGTGGCATTGAGGTGGAACAATTCGAAAACCACCCACCTGGACTCTCTGAAGTGGTAACAGTGGAAGTAACAAAACAGATGAATGAGGTTCTAGAAAAAAAAAATCAAAGCAGAAAAAATTTCTTAGGTAACTACAGGGATGGTAACCATGATGAACAACAACATGGTTAGTGACTCTACAGCACATACAGATTTAAAAAAAAAAATAGAAGAGCTTAGGAAAAGATGGAAACCATGGTCCCCAACATAGGAAAGAAGTGGAATCCATGGGACATATTCAAACAAATATCCAAGAGATTAAAATTCTCTTGAAATCATACACAGCAGAAAGAGCCAATTTAGGACAGAATATCAGATCTAGAAGACAGGATTGTAGTTAGCAATCAAAAAAAAATTTTTTTTTCTTAATAGCAAGGGACCACAAAAAAAATCAACCCAACAGCTGGTAGATGATCCAAATAAGAATAAAATAAAATTGACTTCAGTCAATGAAAAAGCAGGAGATGGTGCAAAGTGCATAGAAAAACATGTTCATAGAAGTAATGGTGGAAAACTTCCAAAGCATGGGCAAAGAATTTGACATACAGATAAGTGAGGCATATAGAACTCCAATTAAATGAGAAAAAAAAAAGATACCAAGGCATGTAATAGTCAAAATTCCAGAAATTCAACACACAGAATATTTAAAGCTGTTAGAGGAAAAAGAAACAAATTACCTATAAAGAAAAGTCCATCAGAATCACAGCAGACTTCACAATATAGACCTTCAAGTATTTCAAGCCTCCAAAGAAGAAAACCTCCAGCCCAGACTGATATACCCTGCAAAACTATCTTTCAAAACTGATGCAGAAATAAGATATTTCCATGACAAAGAACAACTGAAGAAATTCATGACCACTAAACCAGCACTCCAAATCTTCTGAAGGACGTTCAAGAAAAAGGTAAGGAGTGCAACCCATGAACCCCAACAGAATGGATCTACCAGGCAAGGCAAGCAATTAAACAGAAAGGGGGGAGCAAAGGAACCAAAAAAAGGAAAATAACATGACAAGGATAATTGAATACATATCAGTTATAACCATCAATGTAAATGGTCTCAATTCACCAATCAAAAAAAATAGACTGGCAACATGGATCAAGCAAGAAGCCACAATAAGCTACACACAAGAAATACATTTAACTCAAAAAGAAATTTAAACTAAAAGTCAAAGTAGGAAAACAATACTCTATGTGATAGGAACCTAGGAAAAAGCAGAGGTAGCTATTCTGTTTGCAGACAAAGTGGATATCAAGCCAAGACTGATCAGAAGAGACAAAGGAGTTACTACATCTTTGTAAAGGGAACAACACAAGAAGAGATAACAATCACAAATACATACACACCAAACCAGCATATCCAATTATATAAACCAAATATAAATGGACATGAAAAATCAAATAAGCACTAATACAATTGTAATGGGGGACCTCAATACCCCACTGTCATAGACATGTCAACTGGACAAAAAAATCAAAAAAGAAATATCACACCTGAACCAAACATCTGAACAAATGGACTTAGTATATATACAGAATGTTCCACCCCACAAAAACATGGTATATATTCTTCTCAGCTGTACATGGGACATTCTCCAAAATAGACGACATACTACTTCATAGATCATGCTTAAGAAATGCAAAGGAAATGAAATTATCTCATGCATATTATCAAAGCACAGTGCAATAAACTTGGAAATCAATGGCAAAAGAAATCATAAAAACTTCATACATAGAAATTAAATAACACCCTCCTGAACAACCAATGGGTCACATACGAAATTAAAGAAGAAATTAAGACAGTTTCTACAATTAAACAATATCATTACAACATACTGGAACTTATGGAAAGCAATGAAAGTAGTTTTTTGTTTGTTTGTTGGTTTGTTTTTTGAGACAGGGTTTCACCATGTAGTTGAGACTGACCATGAAATTATCTCATGCATATTATCAAAGCACAGTGCAATAAACTTGGAAATCAATGGCAAAAGAAATCATAAAAACTTCATACATAGAAATTAAATAACACCCTCCTGAACAACCAATGGGTCACATACGAAATTAAAGAAGAAATTAAGACAGTTTCTACAATTAAACAATATCATTACAACATACTGGAACTTATGGAAAGCAATGAAAGTAGTTTTTTGTTTGTTTGTTGGTTTGTTTTTTGAGACAGGGTTTCACCATGGTGTTGAGACTGACCAGGAACTATGTAGCCTAGGCTGGTCTTGAACTCACAGTGATCCTCCTGCCTCAGCCTCCCAAGTGCTGGGATTACAGGCATGTGCCAACACACCCAGCTTGAAAGTAGTCTTAACAGAGAAATATATAGCTGTGAATTCTTATATTAGAAAAACAGAGTGAGCTCAAATAAATAACATAATGTTGAAACCAAAGCTTCTATAAAAAGAGTAAGTCAAGCCCAAAGCTCACATGAGGGTGGAAATTATAAAGATCAGAGCAGAAATTAATCTAATGGAGACTAAGAAAACAATATAAACAATCAATGAATAGAACAGTTGGTTTTTTGAAAGACTAAATAAAACTGACCAGTCCTTAGACAACCTTATCAAAAAAGGAAATGACTCAAAACCATGCAATTAGTAATGAAAAGAGTGAAATCACAGGGGATCCTGCAGAAATTCAGAAGATTATCATACCTTTATTGAGAACCTGTAGTACAGGAAGAAAAATGCAGAAGAAATGGACACTTTCCTATATACATATGAATGACCAAAGCTGAATCAAGAAGATAAAAGAATTCTTAATAACCCAATATCAGTCAATTAAATTGAAGATGTAATAAAAACCAATAAAAAAAGGTCAGGTCCTAATGGGTTCACCGCTGAATTTTACAAGAAATTTAGAGATCAAAGAGTACTTCAAACTCTTTAATGAAATTGAAAGGGAAGCAATACTCACAAAGTCATTCCTAGAAGCAAGAATTACCCTGATATCAAAAACAGAGAAGCACTCAACAAAAAAAGAGAACTATAGGCAAATCTCCTTAATGGACACAGGTGAAAAAATTCTCAGTAAAATACTGGCAAACAAAATGCAGCAAGTCATCAAGATTATATAGCATGAGGGCTGGGGATTTAGCTCAGTGGGTTCTGCCGCCTGCTCCGCAAGTGCAAAGTCCTGAGTACAAAAACAAACAAACAAACAAACAAACAAAAAAAATTATATAGTACTACCAAGTTAAGATTCATCCCAGGAATGTAGGAATGGTTCAACACATGCAAATCAACAAATGTAATACACCATAACAACAGAGCCAAGGATAAAATCTTTATCATCATTTCAATAGGTGCAGCAAGAGCATTTGAAAAACTCCAACACCCATTCATGATTAAAAACCTTGCAAAAAATTGGAATAGGTGGTCTTTATCTCAATTTGATAAAAGCTATCTATGACAAACCAACAGCCAACATCATACTAAATGGTCAAAATATGAAAGGTTTCACTCTAAAATCAGGAAGAAAACAAAGAAATAAAAGGAATAAGGATAGGAAAGGAAGATGTTAAATTACCATTATTTAGAGATGACATGATACTCTACATAGAAGACTCCAAAAACTCCACCAAAAGCCTTCTAGACTTAATAATCAAATTCAGTAGCACAGACGGATACAAGTCAATGCTCAAATCAAGAGCAGACCTGTACACAAATAACAAACTCACTGAGAGATAAATTAGGCAAATAATACCTTTCACAACAGCAATGAGAAAAGTGAAATACCTAGGAATTAATCTAAAAAAGCAAATAAAAGACCTTTACACTGAAAATTACAGTACTCTGAAAAATGAGATGGAAGAGGATATCAGAAAATGGAATGATATTCCTTGTTCTTAGGTAGGAAGAACCAACATAGCAAAAATGGCCATACTTCCAAAATTGTTGCATAGATTTAATGCAATCCCAATCAAAATACCATTAGCGTACCTCCCAGAAATAGAGAATACATTCCTAAAATTCATCTGGGGTTAGAAGAGACCTAAAATAGCAAAAGCAACTCTGGGCAACAAAGGCAAGGCAGGGGGCACCAGAATACCTGATTTGAAATTATATTACAAAGCTACTGTATAAAAACAGCATGATGCTGGCAAAAGCAGACCTGAGGATCAAAGGAACAGATTAAAAGATGTAGAAACAACTCCAAACACACTCAGTAATCTCTTTGACAAAGGAGCCAAATGCCTTTACTGGAAGAAAGCCTCTTTAATAAATGGTGCTAGAAAAACTGTCTTTCCACATGCCAAAGACTAAAACTAGACCCACATCTCTCACAATGTACTAAAGTAAAACCAAAATGGTTGGAAGATCTAAGTATAAAAACAGGAACACTAAATCTGCCGGAAGATAGACAAGGTAGAACTCTTGAAAACATTGGTGTAGGCAAAGACTTCATGAATAAAACCCTGATTGCACAGCAAATATCACAAAGAATCAACAATTGTGATCTTATTTTCTTAAAAAGCTTTTGTACAGCAAAAGAAACCACCAACAATGAAAAGATGACCCATGGTGTGGGAAAAAAACTTTTGCCAGTTGTTCCTCAAAAGACTAATATCTAGAATATATAAAGAAAAAAAAAAAAAAAAAAATCAGATCCCTACATTTAAAGACTTAATCTAAAATTGATTATCTGAAATAAATACACAATTCTCAGATCAAGTAGAAAACAAAATATGAAAAAAATGTTCAACAGCATCGATCGTTCAAGAGATACAAAACACGAGGATTCCATATCACTTCAGAAAGAATTGATATCATCAAAAAATCAACCACAAATGCTGGAGAGGCTGTGGTGAAAACGGAACCTACCTCCATTATTGATGAGACTGTAGACTGGTGCATCCATTGTGAAAATCAGTGCGCAGATTTCTCAAAAATCTAAAATTCTAGGTTCCTTTTCACCCAGCTATTCCCCTTTTTGGTATCTTCCCAAAAGAATGAAAATCATCATATCACACAGATATATGCACACTCATTTATAGCAGCAGTTTGTAATAGCTAAATCTTGGAAACAGAACAAATGCTCATCAACCAATTAATGGATAAAGATGTGAGTTTTTTTATTGCAATGGAGTACTACTCTGCCATAAAAAGGATAAGTCTGCTAATTGGTTGGTACATGAATGCACCCTGAGACCATACTCGAGTGAAATAAATCAGACACACATGTTGAAATATCATATTGCTTCTGTGGGTGTGAGAAACCAAAAGTGTAAATAAAGGTTCAAATTATATAATAATAGATATTGAGAAATAGAAAATGTTCAGATGGGAAGGGGAACTAGGGAGGGGAGAAAGGGAAAGGAAGGAAGGGACAAGAAAAAAGGGAATAGAAGGAAAAACATAAAAACAAAGTGTTTATAAATAAGGAGAGGAAGAGGGGCTGGAGAGGGGAATGGGAAAAAAAGAAGCACTGAGATGTATCATGCACAGGTATACAAATTCCCTATGATGAATGTTATTATATATATCTAAAATGTACCAATAAAATATTTTTTAAAAGTCAGCTAAAAATACTGATATATGCAACAGCAAAAAATAGAGAAATTAAATAATAAAATTCAAATTCAAGTAAATACACAAAAGTACTTAAAGAAAATTTATAGGATTACATTGATGCCCTTGAGGTAGGGAAGGCCTTTATACAAGATACAAAAATAAAAAGCCACACATCAATACTGATAACCACATAAAATGTGATAAGTTATGGCAGTTAACACAGTTAAAAGGATTACTATGAATTGACAATTCGTACTATCAGGGATTATAAAAGGCAAGAAGCCTATTAAGTAATTCTCAATTTCTCTAGAAATCAGGGAAATGCTATTTAAAAGTGAGTTACCTCCTACCTTCCAAAAGATTGACAAAATTTTGTCTTCCAACAGATTGGCAAAATGTTTAAAATGGTGGGAGGGAAAAGTCCACAAACAGCACTACAAAGTTCCTTTGAATTTTGGTATAGATATATCTATCAATGGAAAAAGATCTAGAATACTGTATAGGAACTTCAGAACAGTAGTTATCTCAAAGATTTGTTTTAGGATGGCTGTGAGAAAGACATGGACACACATGTAGGTAAACATGGTCCTTAATTTCAAAACTGAAATATCTTTGGTAGACATATAAATATTTAAGGGAAACATTTTAGTATTTGAAAATGTAACTCTAAATGTATTAATTTTAAAAAATCAAGTGTGTATCAATACTCACATACAAGGATATACGTAAATGAGTGACTGTGATAGTTCTTCCTGTCAAGTTGATTGGTTTGATGCTAATTTCCTAGACCAGGTGTCACCTAGATTAGTAAAGCATACTTCTAGGTGTATCTGGGTGGATCATGGAGCATGATCTTGGGGGCTATATTTGGTTCCTGGCCCTTTCCTTTCCTGCTCCTCCCCTGCTCTTCTTCCTGGCTGCTAGGAGGTGAAGCACTTTTGCTCCTCCATGCCTTCCCACTGTCATGTTTCTTCCTTGGAACCAATTGACCATGGACTGAAATCTTTGAAACCATGAGCCAAAATAAGCCTTTTCTTTAAGTTGTGTATGTCAGGCATTTTATCCTAGCAACACCAGTATTCAATGACTTTATAAAGAAACTATATAAGCATACTTCATTTAAGGAAAGCTGCACCTGCAATATATTGTGTTGATTATAACTTAAATCATTCTACAAACACACTTAAAAAGTTCTAGTTCTTTTTCTTTTTTAGAGAAATGACAAAGTAAATCTTTATGTTCAGTGAAGTCCTTTATAATCACTACTTTCATTATTGTTTTTTAATATGTCAGTTTACCTAAAACCAACTTGAAAAGGTTAAACTCTAAATCATTTTATAAAAGTAGATACAACACGTCTCACTTTTAACTGGAACAGTAATTTCTTATTTTACCCAATCTGACTTTTTAAGTTTCTTCATCTTATTTTTTTATCTGTTTAAGGTTTTAGGAGCAAAAATGTATAGATAAGTTCAAACCTGTTAATAGTGCACATTGATGAATATCTTCACTTACAAATTTCATGAATGTATCCTCATCCTAAAATGAGAATTTTTAAATATAAAAACCAACAATTTCCCAAGTCCAGAAAGTTTTTACTGCTACTTTACCAGATGGAGTTGTCAACTAGATTTACAACTGAACTAATGACAATAAAGTCATGCCTTAAAGGGCTTTATTTTTGGGTCTTATTTTACATCCGTGATAACTTATGAAATTGAAAGGAAGTCAAGAGGTATGTACAGGGCCAAGCAAAGTATTTTAAAACACATTTCTTTTTTACTTCCATTTCTTTTCCTTTGTGATATTAACAGCCACACCAACCTTATTATGGTGAAACACAGGATTAGAATACATGACACATGCTTACTGTAACACAGCACAATTACTACATATAAGTGGTGTGAACTATAACACTGATTTAATATGCACATTTTAATAAAACCCATAAGAATCTTAGCCAAAATATTTTCCTAAGAAAAGTACGTTTTTTGCCCTTTAAAAAAATTTTTAATGCATGTATGCAGTACGTTTACATCCTTGTGTAGGTGACACATGTAAATAATACATTTTAATTCCCTTCCATCCCCTTTCAATCATTTCTCAACTTAATAACTATTTAAATGTCCAATTAATTTTTACATTACACTGATATATATTTGTTGGGAAAATACTTTGGAAATACACATTTTATCTAATTCAGTTTAAAAAAAGTTGAGAAAAACATACTGATTCATCTTCATCACTGATTGTTCTGTCCGAATAGTCTTCCTTATCTGACTCGTCTGACATCTCTTCCAGTATTTGGCTTGAAATCTCTTTTATTATATATGTGGGCTGTAAAACAATTTCTAAGGAATTTGTCAGTTTTTCAAATGGAAGGTGTTTTTCACATTAAGTGAATTCTCAAATATATTCAATTTTATTTAATAACAATGGCAAGTCTTCTCTAAAACTTAATCAGGATGCAGTTAACTAAACCTTCAATTCCAAAGGTTTTAAGAAAATTTCCAACATTAGGAGACAAAAATCACAATTCAAACAATTTAATTGAAAAAAACGTTCAGGATACATAGCCAAGTCATTTACATTTAAATACTACAGTCATACCCAGTTCAGAATGACCCTAAGGCAATAAAATATATTAAATAAAGGAAAATTACACTTTAGGCAGTGAAACAGCAGTATAGTTTAAAAAGGTTTTCCCCCTTTTTAGTCGATTTCAAAAGCTCAAATTACAACTGACTTTCTATTCTGTTTAACATTATTCTGAAGATGCTCTGTTCTAATATTGAGTCACACGTTGATCTTACTGAAAACTCCATTATCTTCCGGAAGTTTGTATTGGCGACGACCATAAATGCTCCTGTGTAACGATCCTCCCGCGTGGATACTACTGAGACAATGGTATAATCGAAATTCCTCGTCAAGATTCTACAGCTTAGGAGACCACAGGGCCTCCCCAACTTCACATTACAGGTTCAAGCGCAGTGTGGCTGCACGAGCGCGCCGTCTATAGGCCGCTCCTCCGGGACAACTCCCCGAGACCAGCCCGTCTCAAACACGCCGCCCGGCCGC